ACTATACTGTATTTTTTTTTTCCGGTACCAGGAATCGAACTCACGACCTTGCGCTTGCCAGGCAGGTGCTGTGCCATTGAGCTAAATCTCCAGCCCCCTGTACTGTATTTTTAAAAATTAAACATTCACCGTATATTTTGCTCATGTCAGGTATGATATCAAATTTATTTATTTATTTATTTATTTTTTTGTTTGTTTTTTCTGGTACTGGGAATCGAATTCACGACCTTGCACTTATCAGGTAGGCGCTGTGCCACTGAGCTAAATCCCCAGCCCCACTATATCAAATTTAAATATATTTTCTATCAGAAAAAGAAATTTAAAATAAAGATACCACAATTTAAATAATTTTTATGCTTTTAAAATTTACTTTCTCATCAATTATTCAATATAGATAAATGGGAAAACGCAAAGTTGAATTAACCTTTTAAATCCACACTATTTAAACATAGTTAAATTTAAGCATATGACTATATTTAAATAATTTAAATTTAAAGTTACATTTAATCGTCTTATGAAATATTTTCATTAAAATAAAATTACCATTCTACAATTCAGTGTCATTTATTGCCAATTTAAAAACTGTTTATACCTTACATTACCATTTACATGTTTGATATACAAATATGAGAAATAAAAATTATTGAATATTTGAAATTTATTTTCTAGTAGCCATATACAAATGTTATGAATACTACAGTAACTTCTGATTATCTTCAGAACTACAAACTGGAACATGCATGAGGCGAGAAAATATATGTTTGATATCACTGTGAAATGATTTTGCCGTGCAAAAATCTATTGTATCTCTGCTAATTGAGAGGAAGAATATGAGAAATAATTTACCTTTCCTCTCACCTGTCATTCTGCTGCTCAAATCTTTATGTGCTCTGATCTACATGTCTCATTCTACTGACCTTCATAGCATTCTGATAGTTGCCTTTTGTTTTGAGAACGCAGAGCAGGAAACATGAAGCATTCCCTGGGGAAATGTATATAGAAGAATAATATAAGGGGAGCAGATGTTTAAGGTCTCAATTCCCATTACAGTAAGGTTGAGAGATTCTGAGCAAACAGAAGAACACATATATTCTTTTAAGTGTGTGTCTATTTAAAATATTTACTAGAGTATGTTAATATATAATGTTGTCTATGTTTACAATATGTAGAGGTCCTCTAAAAAATTTCTATATTTATAGTATGGAGGGGGTTAGGGCAAAGGCCCAGGTATAATTGCAATGCTGGATTTCTCTTTTTTTAGTGCTAATTAAATATTTTGTGATAGGAACCATTTCATCCATGAATATGGCCTATTAGTGGTGGAAGATGATAATCATGGATTTTTTTTTTCCTTTGGTGATTTACTATATTTGTTTTCTTTTTTTTTTTTTTTTTTTTTTTTTGGTTTTTCTCCGGTACCGGGAACCGAACTCACGACCTTGCGCTTGCCAGGCAGGCGCTTTTGCCGCTGAGCTAAATCCCCAGCCCCACTATATTTGTTTTCTATGGCCTAACACTTAACTATAAGTTTAGTAACAGAGCAGTCCTCCTCATAGTTTTTTTTTTTTTTTTTATTATAACTTTATGGTTTTAGTGGGCCTGACTTAGATGGATCCTTGGCTCGGGGTCTCACAAGGCTGTGATCAAGGTGTTAGCTGGTGTTTCAGTCTGTTATGTGTTGCTGTAACAAAATACCAATGACTGGGTGATTACTAAATGGAAGACATTTATTTTTCATGTAAGGCCTGGAGGCTGGGAAGTCAAAGATCAAGAGGCTAGCATCTGGTGATGACCTTGGTGGTGAACGTAGTAGAAGGTGTCACATGGCTGAACTTACTTTTATAACAAATCCACTCATTATATTAAAACCACTCCTGAGATAATGGCATTAACTTATCCATAAGCTACATTTTCTTTTTTTTTCCTTTTTTAGCAATCTGCATTTTCATCTAAAGTCTTGATAGGTAAAGCATCTGCTTCTAAGCTCATTTAGTTTGTTGGTAGAATTTATTTCCTCATTACTATTGACTGAGAGTCCTAGTGTTTTTGTTGGCCATAGGCAGATGATCTGCTCTCAGGTCTCAGAGGTTTCTTCAAACAACAGGCCACCTGTAATAACTTTCCATGTAGGCTTCTTCAACATGGCTACTTTCTTTTCATTTTTCTAATTTTTCTTCTCTTTTTTCCTTTCATTCTGTGTATGTGTGTGTGTGTGTGCGTGCGTGTGTGTGCGCACACGCGCATGTGCATATGTGTGTTACTCATCTTTGAACTCAGCATCTCTGCATTGAGCTACCTCCCCAGCCCTTTTTTTTTTTTTTTGGTACCAGAAATTGAACTTAGCACCTCCTGCTTGCCAGGCAGGCACTGTGCCACTGAGCTATATCCCCAGCACCCCTGCCAGCCCTTAATTTATTTTATGTTTTAAGATACAGTTTTGGTAAGTTATTAAATTGCCCACGCTGAGGTCAGTCTTGTGATCCTTCTGCCTGAACCTCCTAGAGTGCTGAGATTAACAAGTGTGGGCCACCATGTCTAGCTAACATGACTGCTCTCTTAATCAAGCACCAAGTAAAACATGGCTTATTAAGGAAGGTACAGTTCTTTTATGGAGAGATTTTAGCAGATTAAATTCAATTTACTAAAAATATCCTTTTTTTGTCTTTTTGTGACAGGGCTCCCTGTGCAGTTCAGGCTGGCCTTGAGCTCACTTTGTAGCTGAGGCTGGCCTTGAACTCACAACAATCCTCCTGCCTCAGCTTCCTGAGTGCTGGGATTATAGGCATGTGTCACCACACCCAGCTCAAAGATATCTTTTTTTGTTAATTCAAAATTATTTAATATTGTAATTACATCTACAAAATCATTTTGCCACATTCTACTGGCTAGAAGCAAATCATGGATTTTATTGAGCAATTATTTATAATTTATTAAATATCTATGTGCCATGTTCTTTACAAAGTACCTTATGAAGTTTAGCAATTATGCAATGCAAATCTAATTTTATTATTTCTATACTTAAAGTTTTTTTGTGTCCTCACTGCTGACAAGACAAAGTCCAGCTCTGAGGCAAGAAGTTTATTAAATCATTTCTCATTTCTTAGAGAGCTCATCTCTTAGAGATGACTCCAAGTCTGGATTGGGCACTATTATTTTATTTGAAGTTAAGTTGGCAAGCCTAAATTATAAATGGACATATTAACCAACTTTTATTTTTTTGGTAACAAGAATTGAACTTAGGACCTTGTGCACCAGGAATTGAACTCAGGACTTTGTGCTTGCTAGGAGGGTGCTGTGCTGCTGAGCTATATCCCCTGCACATTAACTAACTTTTTTTTTTTTTTTTTGAAACAAGGTCATACCATGCAGTTCAGGCTGGTCTTGAACTCACTTTGTAGCTCAGGCTGGCCTCGAACTCGCAGTGATCCTCCTGCCTCAGCCTTCTGAGTGCTGAGATTACAAGCGTGTGCTACCATGCCTAGCTCTTAATAAACTTCTTACAAATACTTTGTTTACTTTTGTTTATTTCACCAAGAGTATGTGCATTTATTATTATTACTATTATTATTATTACTGTTTTTTGTGAGAGAGTTTTTCTATGTTGCCCTTGAACTCATGATCCTCCTGCCTCAGTTTCTCAAGTAGCTGGGATAACAGGGACATGATACCACTCCTGGCTAAGATCATATTCTTCTTCTTCTTCTTTTTTTTTTTTGAGACAGGGTCTTACCATGTAGTTCAGATCAGCCTTGAACTCATCCTGTGGCCTAGGCTGGCCTATAACTTACGGTGATCCTCAGACCCCAGCCTCCCAAGTGCTTGGATTACAGGTGTGAGCCACCATGCTGGGCACTAATATATATTTCTTGAGCGCAGGCACCTAGCATAGTTTTGAAACACTGTGATTTCTTTAAAGCAAACAAAAAAATGGAACCCAGTGTGTTGGTCCACACCTGTAATACCCCAGCCACCCCCTCTACCCCTTATTTTATAATACCAGCACTTGGGTGGCTGAGGCAGGAGGATTGTGCCAGATTGAGACCAGCCTGGGGTACATAGTGAGTTCAAGGCCAGCCTCAACTACATAGTGAGACCTTGTCTCAAAACAAACAAATTTGAGAGAAATTACACTAAAGGATTAAATCTTAGGACCTAATAATTTTTCATCCCTTTTTGCTTTCCAAAACACATTTGCATTTATTCTCTCCTTTACCCCTTTCAAGTGACTTAACTATGGTTATTAACACCATTGTGGAGATGAGAAAACTGATTTTTTTTTTTTTTCTGGTACTGGGAATCGAACTCACGACCTCGAGCTTGTCAGGCAGGCGCTGTGCCATTGAGCTAAATCCCCAGCCCCAGAGATGAGAAAATTGAGTAACACAGTTATTCCAAGGAACAGGCAAGTAAACGTACTACTTGGACTTCAGTCTAGGTTCTCCCAACCAACAGTGCAGTGACATGGACTTCACTAAAGAGTGGCCTCACAACTCCGTGAATGGAAGGGATTGGATACAACTTCTGTATATGTGCTGCCGAAGCAAGCACATGGACACAAGTATGCGCATGTCTTAAAGTACTTCTGTGGCAAAACACTAAAAAAAGATGTTTCTTCCTTTCCGTCATTATTAATGTAGTCAAAATATATTTTGTGAATTTAAAGAAGGTAAGTCAGCATATTTCAGCCTTTTAAAAAAGTCTTTGCTCTTAACTCGTACGTATTTCCCTCTTTTCCCAAGCCTCATAGAGGGCGCTCACAAAGTGCTACGCACTGAGGAGGCGCCCCTCAACAAACACCTCAGAATGCAACCACACCGCGCAGCGCCACCGCCTCACACGGCGTTCTCTTTTCTACGGCAGGGGGCGGGGCCAAAGGGCCTCATTCAAATAAAGGACCAGGAGATTTGCATGAGGAATTGACAGTCTGTGCGGTCATTGGCTGACAGCGCAGTGGGCGTGACATATATTACGCCCACGGAGCTCCGCCTACATAATTTGCATAACGGCCTCACGCGTGCAAGGGAGAAGCGGGTTTGTTTTTGAATCTGCGGAGGCGGCGGCAGTGGCAGCGGCGGCACAGCGACTGAAGCGCGCCAGACTGAGGCGGCGGCGTTGGGGACGGCTGCGCGACGGCCTGTAGGAAGGAACTTGGTTCCCCTGCATCCTCTCCCGCCCCAAAAGGTATATGTGAATCCCAGGAACTATTCTAACCACATTTTGTGAAATTACTATTGTATTTCTGAAGAGTCAAGACCGCATTATGGCGGCTGCGGGAGTTGTGTCTGCGCCTGCGCGGTTGCGGATCTGCGGGCGGGCGCTGCATGGGAGCACGTGATCTTGCGGGGTCGGGCTCTAGTTGCAGTTGTGCAGCTGGCGGGGCGGCGGCTGCGCAAGCGCAATATTCATTTTCAAGATCTAATGTTCTTGGACGCCATTTGGGTTCTAGATTTAATTTTCCTCAGACTTGAGAAGTTTCGTTTTGTTACCTTCTAATTCTCACATTTTTCAAAGGAAAACTTTTCTCTTATCTTGTACTCATATACCGACCTTAAACTCTCTTTCTGTGATTGTCTGAGAAGTTGAACACTTAATTTTCTGTAAAAATTGCCACTTGTGGTTCTCGGTTAGGATTTCACTTTTGGAGTACAGCTAAGTTCAAGTTTATATTTAGGGAGGTAAAGATCAGCACCTAGTGGTGTTTTCACGGGAAGTGCATTTATTTGAGTTGCATGTTTGCAAGTGCAATTTTAACCCTATTTTTACCAGTTTTGACGTGTGGAATATTAGATATGTGGAATATTTAAAGTATAGAAACAATTTTAGTTTTGGAAATATTAGGGGATAGTGAAAAAATACATAAGGTAGTTTAAAGTGAATTCTAAATTTTCTTGAGTATTGTCTTTTAAAAAATATTTTATCTTTAGTCGACTTAGTTATAATTTTAATGTTTGTATGCTGAGTATTTGAATTTTTGTTTTCACTTCTTTAATTGCTTGTCCATTATTGCTTTAGATAATTATCGTTATTTCAAAAACATAATCAGCCTATTTTGTTACCATTTTGTTTTGCAATGGTAATGTAAGTTATAATACTTACTTGGTATGTTATTTTTTTCCAAAGAATTCCTATTTACACTAAGGCCTTTATGAATCAATACACTATCAATTAAAAAATCCTGTTGATTTTTAAAAATGCAGACCCTGTACTTTGTGTGTGATACACAGTTGTTTGATTTTTAAAAAAATTGTAAGTATGCTCCTCGTTTTAGTTTAAGGTAATTATGGTACTCACTATTTTACTTAAAATAGTAATGTCACTATATTTAAATCTTACGTAACACACCTGGGGGAAGTTATGTAAGATTTGATATGATTCTTCCATTGTGCAAATTGTATCTTAGTAGGCTAGAAACTTGTAAAAAGCCTTTACAAACTTCATCTGTGGTTCATATGTACAACAATTGGTTGGTTATATAACTAAAGTTTCATTCAGTCTGTTGTTAAGTTGCTGTGTAATTTTGCTTTGTTTGGGTTATCTTTATTGTCTATAAAACAAATACCATTAGTATTAAATAGATGTAATTGAAAGGAGTACTTTTGGTGCATTTTTAAATGATGTCACATAATGAGATGGAATGTAGTGAGAGGAAAGATTCTTCTTTTTTCTTAAGAGAATCTTACTTTGTCCTGACATAATTTCTAGACTTCTGTTGTCTTCCATATAAAGTGAACGTGGTTGTGCAATTTTGACCCCTTTATGCTTCTGAGGTAGTTTAGAAAAACTCTTATCCTCAGAATTGTCATGTTATTTCAGCTAATTTAGAGTTGAAAATATGCTATATTTTGTATATCTCTTTGTATGTACACAAAGAAGATAACTTTGATCTTGGAGCAGGGTATGTTTTTCACTTCCAAAGAGGAAAAAATACTTCATTTTATGTATTTAAGCTTATGTTTTCGTTTGAATATACAGATGATTGTGTTTTGAGTTAGTATTCAAGGTCTTAAGTGTCACTTGAATAGTATAATACATAATATAAATATTGATAGAATTTTGCTGTCATGAAGGTAAATATAACTATGTATAATTGAACATCATTTGTTCTTTAATACTTTATCAATAACAAGCACATTTTGAAATTTTCTTTTGAGGTTATGCTACAATATTTTTGATATATATATTTTTTTGGTACTGGGAATCGAACTCAGGAGCTTGTGCTTGCCAGGCAGATGCTGTGCCACTGAGCTGTATGCCCGGCCCTGAGTTCTTGTAATTTATACATAAAATTTAGTTTGCAGAAAAACCCAGGTGTGAGTGATTTAGCCATAACACATTGAAACTGTATTATTTATGATTTGAATAAGTACATATGTTTACATACGTGTATATTTGTTTTGAGATGGCTCTTACATTGCAGTCCAGGCTAGCCTCAAACTCAGTCCTGTCTCAGCCTCCTAAGGGCTGAGATTACAGTGTACACTACAATACCTATTTACATTTTTTAAAACTTTTTCATGATAGAACATTAGGAATATGGTAATATTAATAAGTCACATTTGGTAAATAGTCCCTGTCCTGGTATTTTTGTGACTTTTTCATGGTTGATTGATCCATAAATGCTTATTTATTGCTTAGTTTTTCATTAGGACTATAATTCCTATATTTTCCAATACTGGGATCAAACCAAGGGATACAAACATGCTAAACAGATAACATATTTCCATTTTGTTATTCTTTTAAAACATTTTCAATGATTACTTTATACTTTGCTGTGAAAATATCGCAAATTATCAAATATTCTTTTCAGATATGTTAATGGCTATGTATTATTTCTCCATTATAAATAATGCTATAGTGAACATTCTTCTACTTGATCATGATCTATAACTCAGACTATATCTTTGAAATTACTGTTAAGGGTTTTTAATTTACAAATTGATTTCTCATATCACTATCAGTTGGGTGGTTGAAAATACAGTAGCTCAGTAACTTTTTGTTGAGTAATAGAATTGGTAGTGAATATTTTCCAATACTTTCTTCTTTTCTTTTTTTTTTGGTTCCGGGAATCGAACTTGGGAGCCTGTGTTTGCCAGGCAGGCACTTGTACCGCTGAGCTATATCCCCGGCCCTCCAATACTTTATATATATATTTTCTCATTTACTATCTTTTGTACACAGAAAGTATTGTGTAGTGAAGTAAATGCTCCTTTATTTTATCAACTTTTTTCTAGAACTATATTTTTTCAGGAAATTTTAATGAACTTTAAAAATTAATTTACATGAATATATAAATATATTTTCATATATTGTATATGAAGATGGGTTGGTTAGAATTAATTTTTTCTAAGTGTCTAATTTTCTCAGAATTTTATGCCTTTGATCCATCTCTTATTTTTGTCTTAATCATATTTACTTATTGGGTTCATTCACTAGCAAGATTTAACGTAGGGTTTATTGACCTCTAGTTCATACTGATAAGTTTAACAAGTCTCACATGTCTCCTAATATATGCAATTTTATGGGAGTGTGCAAAAGCACATTTTTTGGGGGGGAAAATGATGGCTTTTATTAGCTTCTCAAAGCAATATATAGCAGGTTAACAATTACTGTACCAGGACCTTATAGTAGTATTGCAGTGTTTTATTTGCAATAGAACTACACATAGAGTATATATGTTTGTAATGCTGTATACAGTATAAATGCAGATGTATGTTAAATTCAGTTGGTTAATTTTTTTTAAAAGGTCAATTCATGGTTTTGCTTAAAATTACACTAAATCTAAATTGTGGTAAATTTTTATTATACTCTTTTTCTGTATTCATGAATATGGTACACTTCCTATAGACTCCAAAATGTACTGCACTGTTTTTAGGAATACCCAGAAGATTTGTGATACCTATTGACTCTCAGTAAGATGTCATTTTACTCTTTTCCTGGTGCTGATATGTTAATAGGGTGAATTATGAGAGAATATAGGACAGTATTTTTGTTTTTTGGTTTTTAGGACATGACATGAAGGTAATGCTGGTGTGAAGATAAATGTTGGAAAAATGGTTTGTGAAATAAAGTATTTTACAAAGTATGAAACAAAAATCCTTGTTTAACATAGACTTGTCTTTTTATGGGGGACTTTTAAAAAATTATCTAATTCCACTGGTGGGGAAATTATCTGATCTTTTTTTTTTTTTTTTGACTAGGATGGAGCCTGATTTCATAATAAAGAAAAAATCATTTTACTTGATAGTATAAAATTGAAATATTTATTTATAAGGGCATTCCTTAATTAGTATAAATTTATTCTCCATTAAAGTGTTTTCTACACTAATTGAAATGCTATTTTTTTTTTTTGGTATCGGGAATCAAACTCAGGACCTTGCACTTCCCAGGCAGGCGCTTACGCTGCTGAGCTGTATTCCTGGCCTGAAATGGTATTATTCTTAATTAATAGTGATATGTCTTAATTGTAAATCTACTTTTTATCTTTTTCAAAATGGATATCGGTTATTGGGCTGGGGATGTTACTTATTGGTAGAGTGCTGCCTCACATTTTTGAAGCCTTGGGTTCAATATCGGGAGAGCTAATAAAAGGTGGTGATTAAAGAAAGAGTCAGATTATTGCCAAAATATAATTTTTAGCAATAT